AAAGACAAGGAAAAAAGTCTATAGCAGTAACTAGATCCACCGTGACTGGCTCTAACAATAAAAGACAGCCTACACGTGATTACTCAATCTAATAGCAATTTCAATGTGATTGATAATATAACGTAATAATATGAATGACACTGGGGTCTTTTTCTTATAAAACAGCTCCTTTTACATTCATTATTAAAGTTTATTATGCACCTAATACATGTGCATTAAATACTATACTTAAGAAACCATTAAAATCATTTTACATTGTCACTTACACATAAATGACCTCAATATTTTTATCACTATTGCAGCCGGGAGACCTGAATGTGATCCACTGTTGGTGTCACAATTCCTTGCCTTAAAAGAAAGAATAACACCTTAAGATCCCCCATGCAGGGGAAGCACAATTCAGGTCTTTATTGCTTTGAGGCTTGTTTAGAGTGTATATTCATCAGTTGCCCACACACACACCCACTGTGTCTATCTGTAGCCCGCCGCTCCTGTCATCCTCCACTGCTGCTTCCCGTGTCGTGACAGCTCTCTGTTTTATCCTCAGCACTGCCGTCACCCTCTGCTCCCCTGGAATTTCAATCTCATGTGCTTTTGTTTCCTTATTCCACCAGCACCACCTGCAGCAGCACCCCTAGTGCGCCTCTTGTCTTCCAATGCCTGCTGGAGAGCTGTGCGCATAAGAAAAGTGTCGAGCGAGGAGGCATGCCCGGTTTTATTCTGAAGACGGAAGTGTTAGATAAGTTGGTAAATTGAACACCCTCTGTCATCATTACATGCATGCACACTTGCAATGAGACAGTTTAGTGTGTAGGAGGCAGAGCAGGCAATTTGCTTAATTCTAGAGATCAGTGCCGATTCTAAAGATCCATGTTAATTACCCTTAAAACTCTTTTTTGTTGTTGTTGTTGTTTGCCTGAGCTGAAGGAAGAGGAAAGCAGGGAGCAAATGTGATTTTATGTATTTCCACCATTGGATGAATTAACTGAAATTTTATCTGCTGATATGTGTATTTGGAATTAAGCTTCTACACAGAGGTGGATGGAATCAACACCCAAAACTCTTTAGACATCTTTGGATGAAAACTGCACATTAAGAGCTCTTTGCAAACAGACCTCTGTTACGTTAGATAGCATTTTGATGTTGGTTGGGTAGCCAACCAGCCACATTGTTTGTGTTATTTTACTGACATAGATAATCATATTGCAAACCTTTAGGTTGGTCTTGCATAGAACAATTTAATTTATGGTACTCCCCTTCGAGCTAGAGCTACAGGCGTATTATTTTCATACATAATGTTCTTCAGACCAGCTACTTTTTTTCTCAAACTTGAAGTACATAAAACAGACAATACTTCTGTAATTTTGATTAAATTGGATTATGAATGCATTCCATTTTCTTAACTGCTTATTCAGCTTAGAGTCACTGAGGAGCACACAAGGCAGCACATAATCACGTGGCAAATGTCATTTTTTGTAACAAATTTGTCACATGGTTCAATAAATTCTCCATTTTCAAAAAGTTAAATCTTTCTGGCAATGAGTTCATTTTCAGGCTTTAAGGGGTTAATTGACTTTGAAACATGGTACTGTTTTTGGTGCTGGACGGGCTAGTCTGAGCATTTCATAGACTGCTGATCTCCTGGGATTTTCCCACACCAACGTCTCTGGGGTTTACAGCGGATGGTCTAAAAACATTTTGAAAAATATTCAGAAAGCCGAAGATCTCTGAATAAAAAAGGCCTTGTTGATGCCAGAGGTCAGAGGAGAATGGACATACTGCTTAGAATCAGAATCAGAATCAGAATACTTTATTGATCCCTGGGGGAAATTATTATTTTTTTGTTACAGTGCTCCATTTTAAACCAACATTAAGACAAGACAGACAATACACTAACTAAGAATAGTACAATATATACATATATAT